CCACAACACCCGGCTATTTTTTGGTTGCAGCCATCATTGTTGTTTGGCGGGTCCGGGCTGGGGATTCGAACCCGCCACCTTAGATGTATGTGGCTGGCGCCTTAGCCGGTTGAGCTATAGGCGCTGAGCCCTTTCTTTACAGTCTTAATACCTGCCCTCTTTTGGCATGTGTGGCTTAAAGCCAGCTGAGTTCCTGCATGGTGACAGATACTTAGGCCTAGTGTGGACAAAGGACCCCTGGATCCTATCTAGGGTGCATAAAAACAGCCTCCTCCCAAGGGGGAAAGCCTCTAGAGAGAAAAAGGCACATACCCACATTATTTTCTTTTCTGCCTCCCACACCATCTGATTGGGATACAGCCTGGGCTCCCAGCTTAGAGGGGATACTAGGTAGGATCAAGTTAGACCTATGAAGGGCTTACCTGGAAGCCTGGCTGCAGTAGCTATTAAGATTTGGAGAGGGGCCAGCTCAGCACCTGTAGCTCAAGTGGCTAAGGCTCCAGCCACATATACCAGAGCTGGCAGATTCGAATCCAGCCCAGGCCAGCCAAACAACAATGACAACTACAACCAAAAAAATAGCTGGGAATTGTGGTAGGTATCTGTAGTCCCAGCTACTTGAGAGGCTGAGGCAAGAGAATCGCTTAAGCCCAGGAGTTGGAGGTTGCTATGAGCTGTGACGCCAAGGCACTCTATCCAGGGTGATAGCTTGAGACCCTGTCTCAAAAAAATAAATAAATAAATAAAGATTTGGGTAGGGGAGTAAGGGAGAGGCTTCCATGTCAGGGTAGGAGGATTGACAGGGAGACCTCTTGCTTTGCAGGTTCATGAGTCTAGCACATCTATACTTAAACACAAGAACAGCCGCTGAGACGCCAAGACAGGAGCCAAGAGGCCTGCACACACCCAGCCACTGCGTCTTCCTGCATCCCTAGTATGGCTTGGCACAGCCTGGCCCAAGTCCATCCTCTCCCTTACACCTTGGCAGAGGCCAAGGGCTGTGAGGGTGGCAGCGTCTGCAGGGTGTGGCCTGTGAGCCCCAGGTCCAGAGGAGCCAGGATGGTGAAGAAGGCTGGACAGGAGGGGGAGCCCTAGCAGCAAGGATGAGTACAGAAGGGGCTGCTGGCCAAGATAGCCAGGGTTTGGCCTAAGGATGGGTATCCTGGTCCCTGCTCTAGCTCAGAGCTAGGTGGAGCCTGAATGGACCCAAGCATCAAGATGAGGAAGGCAAGGTCAGTGGGGACCAGGCATCTGTGTATTGACAATAAAGTTTTATGTTGGAATCAATGTGTCTGATTGGTGGATATCTCCAACCCCTTGGGGTACTTGCCCACGGTCTGATGAGGAAGACAGATCTTCCAATAGCCTATCTGTGTGAGGAGAGAGTCACAGACTGCCCTCAAGAGCTTCCAGTCTAATGGGAGAAAGAATTGCACCCCTGAAAATTTCTGACTTAATTGTAGAGACCCTTACAGAGATCTAATAATCCCTGCCCTTAAGGTCCTAAATTTGGGGTGATAAAGTCTGGTTCTTATGGTTGGGAGACCCTGTCTGATGAAGGAGACAACCCTACCTGCTGTCTTCCTGTCTGAAGGTGGAGACCGGCCTTCATTCTGGGAAGCCTAGTCTGATGGGGTCACCACTGACCAAGTCATATAAGTACAGGCAGCTCCGTCACAGCCCAGTAATTGGTTAAATTGTGGGTCCTGGCAGGCTTCTTGGAGGAGAGGGTAGAAGAAAGCAGGAGGATTTTGTGAGCCAGGTGAATGAAGACTGGTGGGAAACGTGGGACCTATTTGGGATCTTCACAACAAAGGCCACTGAAAACCTCATCAGGTTCCTGAGCTAGGAAGTGCAGAGTCTAAGAAAGCTGTGGCACTCATAGGCAATAGAGTGAGCTGCCCTGGGTGACAGGGAACCTGGGTTCCAGTCCTTGGGTGAGTCACTTGGCCTCATCTGTGCAATGAGGAGAGGGTGAGATTGACTTCCGGCTCTAAAATCAAATAGTTCACTCTTAGTCCGGGAGATGGGAGAACAATGAGATCAGCCATGTTTCTGAGACACAGGTTCCTTGGCATTGGTAGGGGGAAGGCTGGAGTCCAGAGTTCTGCCCACTGTTCAACAAAGGCTTATGATTAGGGACCTGGGGGATATTCACCAGTTGCAATGGGCGTTCCCAGAGGCCCACTGATTGCAACTGATGGGAAACTCCACCCTCCATCCTTCTCCCATCAGTGTTATTCCCAGTGCTGAAGAGCACCCTGGGGCCTGCTGGGAAGAAGTCTGGACACCTGGGGATGGTTGGTGTGCTCAGCAGGCAGATGAGAGGTGCTGCCATTTCGAGCAGAGCCTCACTGTCTTGGACTGATTTCTGTTCCCTTGTTCTAGCCAAAACTCCTTTCCAACACCCTCCAGGACCATCACCAGCACAGACATGGGCATGGAATGGCTTTTGCTGCTGCTGCTACTTATTGGAGGTGGAACTGGTAAGTATCCACATACACCGTTTCCATTCATCCTTCTCTGAGGGCTCTCACAGCCCCTCTTTTGGCTGGCCAGAGAGGGGAGTAAGATGACAGGAAATCAGGTAGTGTCTCCAGGAAGAGCTAATAATGGGAGCATGGCCATCCTCCACCCCACCCACCCTTCAAATTGTCTATCTGCAAGGCTTGGGATATCAATGAGTTTAGAGACAGGAACACAACATAGTGACCTCTATGGGTCTTCTGCCCTTGCCCATCCATCTCTTCTGGGATGCTATACTTTTATCTGTCTGTCTGATCCCTTCAGCTAGTCTGTCATCTCATCTGTCTCCCTTTTTCTGTCTGTCCTTTGCAACTGGGCCAGGGTAATAACTTGGGGTTTCTGTATGCTAGTTCCCTCCCAAGCTGGCCCACAACTGAGGGCCCAGGAGACTGGACCCCCACTGCCCTTTCTCGCCCTGCTACAGAAGGTAACAACCACCAGTCCCAATGCCTCACCAAGCCTGAGTTAGGAGTAAGCCTCACTCTGAGCTCTTAGGATGGTACAGACAAAGATATCAGGAGGTGGCAGAGAACCTCCATGAGTTCATGACTCTTACCAGGGACAGAAGAATCCTTGATAAAGCATCTAGGAAGCAGATAGCAATTTTGGTGAGAGGAGTAGAAGGGGATAATCATTCCCAATAGCAGGTTTGATTTGCTGAGCACCTGCTAGGTGCTAACACTGTGCTAGGTACTCCATGTGCATTGTTTTATCCTCAAAACCACTAGGGAAGGCTCGGCGCCTATAGCTCAACCGGCTAAGGCGCCAGCCACGTACACCTAAGGTGGCGGGTTCGAATCCCCAGCCCGGACCCGCCAAACAACAATGACGGCTGCAACCAAAAAATAGCCGGGCGTTGTGGCGGGCGCCTGTGGTCCCAGCTACTTGGGAGGCGGAGGCAGGAGACTCGCTTGAGCCCAGGAGTTGGAGGTTGCTGTGAGCTGTAATGCCACGGCACGCTACCCAGGGGGAGAGCTTGAGGCTCTGTCTCAAAAAAAAAAAAAAAAAAACCACTAGGGAAGTGGGTAGTATTGTCATTTCTGTTTTGCAATTGAGAAAACTGAGGCCCAGAGATGAAGTGATTTCATGCCCTTATGGAGGGCCTATCTTTTCTTACATTGCCAGGGTGCTAGCCCAGGTCTGACTTCAGAGCTCAGGTCACTCCATTGCCTCTCGAGAGTACTGCCCTAGGGAGGAAACCTCAATATCACAAAGACATCATTTCTCACCTAATCTATAATAACTGTGCACTTCCAATCATGATCCCAACAGGCTGCTTGTAGAATATGATAAGCTGATTCTTATCTATGTAAGGGAGAATGAAAGGCCAATTATAGCCAAGATAATTTGGAAAAGCAAGATGGGAGACTTATCCAACCAAATACTGAGATTTACTACAGAGTAACAGTAGGATAATGTGGTATCAGTATAGTGAAAACACGTGAGAGAACAGAATAAAAAAGAAAGCATGGTGGCTTGTGCCTGTAATCCCAGCTATTTGGGGAGGCTGAGGTAGGCAGATCATTTGAGGTCAGGGGTTTGAGACTGTCCTGAGGAACACAGCAAGATCCCGTCCCTACAAAAAACTTTAAAATTAGCTAGGCATGGTGTTGCTTTCCTTAAGTCTCAGCTACTCAACAGGCTGAGGAGGGAGGATCACTTGGGCCCAGGAGTTTGAGATTACAGTGAGCTATAGGCCAGGCATGGTGGTTCATGCCTGTAATCCTAGCACTCTGGGAGACTGAGGCAGGAGGATCCCTTGAGCTCAGGAAATTGATACCAGCCTGAGCAAGAATGAGACCACAGCTTTATTTATTTATTTACTTATTTTTGAGACAGAGTTTCACTTTGTCACCCTCAGTAGAATGCCATGGCACCATAGCTCACAGAAACCTTAAACTCCTGGGTTCAAGCAATCCTCTTGTCTCAGCCTCCTGAGGAGCTGGCCCTGTAGGCACCTGCCACAATGCACAGCTATTTTTGAGATGGGGTCTCGCTCTTGCTCAGGCTGGTCTCAAACTCCTGCACTCAGACAATCCACTTGCTTCGGCCTTCCAGAATATTAGG